CAATGGCATAAAAAACTGGGCACACTTGTCCGTGACCCAAGGAGGCAGCTAGAAAGAAGAAACTCGAGGAGGGCTTTTCTCTCTGCTGGAATCCACAGATAGATCCGGGATGCAGCGTCATGAATTCCAAGTTTTTCTCAAGATATAAGCGGTCTCCCCATTTGCATCATTTGCACACCCCTCGTGATCTTCTTATGGCCAAGTTCACAGCCAGGACAAAGAAGCCAAGGGCAAGGGCCTTGAGAGCGATGTCAAGGTCAAGCAGAAAGATGCCTGGCAGAGTTTCGTTTGGCCCGACTGGACATTTTCAGCATTTTCGGATTTCCTTTCTCTTATTGAACGGGGATTTCCTAATGGGGTTTCCAGTGCCCTGGCACAACTGGCACTTAGGAGGAGAAACCGAAGGCCAAGGAGGCTGGTGGTGGTTTCTAAAGATTCGAATGTTCTTCTAGATGGGGTACTGTACCCTAAATGGCACCTTCAACTGGGATCTGGTACCCTATTTTCACACAAAGCCAAGTAGCTCTTCAGAAACCGTGGATAAGTTTTTGATCCATTCACTGTGCAAGATCAAAAGATCAAGGTTGAGACATATCCGGGGGAAGGGATCACCAACAATCAAAGGATATACAGTAGTATAAATTTTCTTATGTAAAAATCATGGGGATACTGCCGGGGCTTAGGCTATTAGGGGAACAAAGTACAGGACCAAAACAGAATTGCTGGTATCAAAAACCATTGGGTTTCCAGCAAAATGGTCCGATATTTTTTCCGACCTCAAGGGTTGTGCGCTGGCGCCAGGAGTCTTCCAAGACCAAATCCAAGGACGACACGAAGTCTAAGAAGGAAACAAAAATCGAGAAGAATGTCATGTGCTTAGCCGGTAGATTCCGGTAGATGGTAGTTGTCATCATGAAGGTTGGCCAAAGAAGAGGCTTTTGAGTGTTTCATAGCTAATTTCCAGATATTTTGAGGTTCTCCCCCAGGTGGTTCCCAACAAAACCATCACTGCTCGAGGAAGAGAAGATGGACAGGACACCCTGACGTATTTCCTGGCAAAAAGTCACTGGCTTCCTATAGATTTTCCCCTCTTTTTCCACCAAAATCATGATGGGGATGATGGCGTGACCCTAAGGAGAAGAAGGAATCCAAAAACACCAAAGCCAAGAAGGAAGTGCCCGAGAAGGTCAAGGAGAAGTCCAAGGAGAAGTCAAAGAAGGAACTGCTGTGGGGACCTCCAAAGGTCATTGTGAATATCAAAACAATTCGTGGGTTTCCTACAATGGGGGCTACCCCACAATGGATGCTTTATCATGGAAATTCCTGCAACATCTTATTAACATGATTTAGATGGATGATTTGGAGTACCCCCAGCCATTCGGAAACCTTCAGTGTTGTGGGTCCTGCAACGGGAGTTTTTCTTGGTGCCCGATGATCCTTGGGGGCTCAGGAGAAAGAGGAGAAAGTGGATGCAAGAAAGCACTTTGGCTGCACATGGACTGGGATATCATGAGGATGAGGTATAATGGGAATATAATGGGGGTATAACTGTATAACTATAGTACTAATAGGGATATGATGAGGATATAATCGGGATATACTGCAAAGATTCTGAAAATCCGCGTGGGATTTTCCAGGGGTGCTGTAGAGGGACATCAAGGATGCTCCAAAGTGCTCCCCAGTGTCTGAAACATGGCAAGACTAGAACCTTGTACCAAGGAAAGATAAGAAGGAGAAAACAAGCAAAAAGGACTTGGTTCCTCTGCAGAGGCATTTAATCATTTCCCTCTCATTTGAGGGTTTGCTTCAGTATGCTTTGCCGGGTTTATGCACCGACATGATTATCAACCTGCATACAAGCCGTTGGTTTTGCATCGTTTTCCTGTCAAGAAAGAGCAATTTCCCAAGCCCTAGAGAGACAAAGATAGAACATGTTGGCGCATTAGTCCGGGCTGGAACCACATCAGGAGAAATCGAAGAAGCGAGAAGATCGATCTCGAAGTCGAGATGCAAGGTGGGATGAAATTCGAAAACCGACAGAATTTCCTGGTTTAAGCTCAGCCATTGAAATGGTGTTAAACATCACCTATAATTTAGGGTTGTGGTCATAACGGCTATGGTTGCAGCGTCAGCTTTTTTATCCAAGCCGGATCGTAGGGCCAGCGTCCAGCGTAAGACATTTCGTTAAGGTAAGACATTTGCATACCATCATGACTCATGTTCAAAATTGAATAGGCCCGATGTTGGACAAAACGCATGTGTTTCCATGTATAATATATAAATATATATAGAGAGAGAGAGAGCATCCTGGAAAGACTTTTTTTAAGAAACAATGTTAATATATCATATGTGTATATATATATATTGTTATACTTCATACTGTATTGATGATCCAATGTAAGTCAATCCCAATGATTGTTGGTCAGTATTCACCAACAAGGTTTTGCCATCCTCACTAGCTCCCATATGCAAATCCATCTCAAACCAACTGCCGACCCAGGTCAAAACAGACCAAAGAGGAGCCGCGACTCGTTACAGCGCATGCCCGACACTACTATTTTAAACGTGGATATTGGTATACATAATATATATATATATTATCCACACATATGTATGTATATATCCATATATATATATATATGTATATATATACATACACACATCCTTGAAGGTATATATCACGACTGGATTTGGAGGGCCCCCCATCTCTCGACACACCAACTGATCAACTTGCAACGTGGCTCTTTTTGCCTCAGCAGCCCAGAACCAAGATAGAACGCAAATTCAGCTTGAGGAATTTTTGGAGGTTTCCATCGATTTCATCGATAGCCTCAATGATGCTTCCCAAGTGACCCAAAACATGATACTGTGTAGTCCCCTGCCCGCCCTGGAGATCCTTGTGAAAAGTTGGAAAACTGGATGCCATGAGGTAAGACTCAAAAGTAAATCTTGCTGAAGAATATTTTTTGGCTCATAAAACAGTATGCATACGCGATCAATCATATCCACGATCAAAGTTACTAGTATTAGTATTATACATGTATATTCATATATTTACAAAGTGTATTTTTCTGTATTTATAAACGCATACAATTTATTATCCTGTATTGCCCCCATTTCGTCTTTGGTGCCAGGACTCTCGCAAGCGGCAGCAAGGTGTGGCTGAAGTGACCACCAGAGTGCCATCCCCGGAAGAGGAAGAAGCTCCGGAAGAGGAGCTTCCACCAGAAGACACTCCAGAGGAACAGCTTGAGGAAGAGAAGTCTCCTGAGGTGGCTGAGAAGGAGGAAGAAAAAGAAGAGGAGGAAGTAGAGAAAGAGGATGAGGAACCTGAGAAAGAGGAGGAGGAAGCGGAGAAAGAGGATGAGGAAGCTGAGAAAGAGGAGGAGGAAGCTGAGAAAGAGGAGGAGGAAGCTGAGAAAGAGGAGGAAGAAAAAGACGAGGAGGAAGTGGAGAAAGAGGAGGAGGTGGAAAAGGAGGAGGACGAGGAAGCAGAAAAAGAGGAGGAGGAGGAAGCAGAGAAGGAGGAGGATAAAGCTGCAGAAGCCGGTCGGAATCAGTATTTTCTTTTTTTTTTCATCTTTTTGCTTGGATCTTGGCTGGTGAACCCACTTATATACAACTTTTTAAATCCTATAAATGGAGGGAAATCCAACGCCACCACAAGAAACTGGGCTCAGGACAAGAATGGCGACGTCGACTCCGAGGCGAGTGGAGGAATTGGGAGGTACCATGTGGCTAATTATGGCTAATTCATGCAGAGAATTATGGCTGCAGAATCGTTATGATCGGGGAAATCCAGCAGAAAACTCTCAGCAAGTTTGTTTTGTCACTCGTTTCTAGGTAATAGTCCTCTGTATCGCCCAGCAGCTACTAGTCCGCTCACTGGTGTATTTGATGATGTGGAAAACAATCTGCTTCCGTTAACACCTGTTTTTACTTCAATCAAATTGTTGATGGAGGGTCTATCCTCCACGACCGATTCGATGTGTCTTGCTCCTTCAGCTAGCCCAATCTGGTGTTTCCTCAACAGTTGCGAGCATGGGTTAATTTTAACTTTATCATCGTGTACTTTGCGCATCCATTTTTTTTCTGAAGCCAGACGGAACCCATAAGGTTCATGATTGCATGCACACTTTTTAAACAGCCGGCTCTCAGCTTCGAGCTTTCGCTTCCAAGTTCATTATTTTTTTTCAGAATGTTTACATGTTTTTGTTGCAGCAGACCTTTCATAGTTTATACGTGTTTCATTTTTTCCCAGCTCTGGTGCCAGGGTCCAATGTTTGAAGCTGGACAGGACGATGTGGTGGTGGTCGATGAACCTCCTACAGCCGCGGCCGCTGTGCCAGTTGCCCCTGTAGCTGAGGCTTTCATGGAGTTTGATGGGATATTCATGGGATTTAACAGGATTTAGTGGGATATTACTAGGATTTTTCGGGAATTTATGGAATTTGATGGGGTCTAGTGGGATTCAGTGGGACTCAATTACACTCCAGTAATCAGTCACATGACTGGCTGAAGAATCGACCATTTTGCTTCGATGATGTTCCCAGCCAAGTTTGATGACAGGTGCAGCAAGAAGGACAACTTCCCAGATGGGTCAAAGTTGGTCTGGGATCTCAGGTGGAAGGGTTGAAGAGGAAACAATGATTTTGACTATCATCCAAAAACGGCTCATTAAGTTAATGACTTATTAAGTAGCTTGGAATTATATCATTGCTGTGGAGTGATATATATATATATACGCAATATATATATATACGCAATAGATATATATATATATAATATTATATACACAATATATATATAATATTTAATATATAATATTATATAATATTATATTATATATATATATTTATGACATATTTTATATAATATGTATTTTTATATAATATAATATATAACATATACTATATATAATGTATTATCAGCCGCAATGAGATCGCCATGTTGCAAGAATTTGAACATTTTTTGTTTTGCACCTCTCTCGCGCATACCTTATATGTGACCTGCGCGCAGCAACTTTCAAGCATCAAGCTTCCTCTGTGCAACCATTTTTTGTGCCTGTTTCCTTTGTCTGCGCCTCAGACCAAAGGCTCCACTTGTAGCTGCAAAGGTCTGACGCCGTTGCTCTCTTTCTCTTTGTGTATGTTCCCTACCTGTGAGGCCCTGGAGCAACCTCCAAGCAATTGGCACTATTAAGCAAAAGGAGGTTTAGTGAACATGTGCAGAGGGACATGTAGTGACTCCAACTTGATAACACATGTTAAATTCAGACATTTAACACCCTGCCTCGGGAAACCAGAGATGCTTTCATGGCGGGATGCCTAAGGAGAAAGGCCTCCATAATGATCCTACCCAAATCACTTTGAGCCAGTATTTGCTGGAAACATAGGCTGGCCCCCAATACACAATGCAGAGCGTGCCTTCCATCATCAATGACATGCTGCATGCGCTGCAAGCAATGACTGCACTGTACGCAAGGCAAAAAGGGGGAGGGCGCACCTTCTCAGCAATCCCACTGCCGGCCAGGCAACTAGCTGAGGTTTCATGGGACTTCTTGAACCCCACCAGCTTCAGAATCCTTTCCTACTGGTGGTTTATGATTTCATGTTACCAAATGATAGGTTGTAATTGATCAAAGTGAGTGGATTCACCCAAAATCCAAAAAAAGGTATCTTTCAAAAAAAAGGTGCGCTTCACAAAGAATGCCATTCTTTTGAATTACCCCAAAAATTGAGGGTCGTTCGAGGGTCAAGGTATATACGTATAGATATAGATAAATAATGTCGTGGAAAAATGTATCAGGCTCGTTCCTTGATGATAGCACCACGGTGCTTCTGGATAGCTACTTCAACCTGTGAAAATCAATTCACAATGATAAGTTCCTGCGTGCATGTTTCTTTTATGATGCCCATTTCAATCAAAGGATCGACAATAATGACAAAAAAGCCGAAAGCTGAACAAAAATCACAGCATCTGGTCTTTTTTCATAGCTTCCTGTCTTCGTTTTAGTTCTTTTCTTTACTTCTTTCCCTCCTTCTCTCCTTTCTGTCATGTTGCGGGACAGGCGCCTTTTCTCACAGCTTCCGAAATGCCAGGTACGCCGACACGTGTTCCAGCATGCGCAACTGCGGAGCAACATGTCAGCTTATTGCGGATGGGGAAAACATGCAGCCTGTGCAACAGCGGAGGAACGTGCGCAACTAGCAACGTAGCGAGCAACATGTAAGCTGGTTGGACAGCACGCAGGGCCAGGAACGTGATTAGCCCCCCCACCCAACCCGCCCCACCCCGAACCCAAAAAAAATGCAAAACGCTTGGCCGGTTTTCGTAGCATAAACACATTACACTCTTACAACAAAATCTCATTGTGAATGCTTAGAGCTGTAAGCTTTCCCACCCGCTACTTGGAGGAGGTTTGCTGGAAACTTTGCAGCCGATTCTTCGATTTGGATCCAGCGGGCTGTTGGAACGAAGTTACGCTGCGCGGCACTGGAGTAAAAACTGCAGATGGCTACCTATATAATTAGGTTTTGTCATGGTTGTTGGTCATGAAGTGCTTAAGCAGCGATTCCATGACAATGCTGACTGCACTTTACTGCGACCGTGATTGTACTGAACGGCATCATTTGGAGGAATGGGTTCCACCTATGAATGATAATCGGTTTTGAATGATAAGTCAGGTACCAGGTGCCATGATGCCATATTGTACCAAAGTGGGAAATCCGTGCAAATCCTTTCAATAATGCTCAGAAAAGAGCTAGAAGTAGAGGTACCATAGCGTTATTTGTATTGCTTTCCTCCGACGATCGGCTACTGTCTATCAGATGAAAGGGTGTGGAATTGTCCTTTCACTGAATGAGGCGGCCAATTCTCATAGCCACTTAAGGGGCCCAACCTCCGGAAGAACCTTTGAATCATTTTGAAGCTATGTATTGTTTGGGTTGGGTGATGCTGGTGACATTTGGTGACACCCAACACAGCATGGGCAAAGACGGAGTGCTTCCATGCTGCCATGAAATCCAGCCGTGGACTATCAGCAGTGGGAGCTGCACACTTCCAACCATATGTATTGCCAGGGGAAGTCGTCACTTGTTCTGATTCTGTCGGTTTGTCATGGACGGGTCCTGTGCAGGCACGATGCACAAGAGAAGCATTTGCACTGTTTTCGTACATCACTTTAAGTTTCTTAGATATTTGAATAGGTTTCATCCATTTGCTAAGCATGCGTGAACCTTTGCTTCTAATTAGCTTCTCCAGTCCTTTACGATGAAAGTGTGTTATGACAGTGAAACCAAGGGAGGAACCCAAAAGATTAAGGAGTTTTGAGTTTTTTTGCTGCAAGACCATCGGCTTTGGTGACGATTCCGGTGTGCCACGATGCGCCTAATCTTTCTGGATATCGATGGGATGCTGGTGACGCGCAGACCTGGCGTCATGGAAGAGACCCTTGGAGGAAATTGCTTAAATGTTCATAGCTTATAGACTTTGTGCCAAAATACATCACGGCACAAAATACATCACGGCAGCACAAGCCTAAAATCTATTGCGATCTGAAGGATGTCTTGAGAAATTTTGATTCTCTTGATTCAGCTGTGAGGGTTCACCACCTAGAGCATCGGGGGCCATGACACCACAGGAAGCTTTTGCAGAATCTTGCGAGGGTTGTGGCCTAAGTGATGGGCGCTTCAGCGGGTATGGAGAGGATCGGAGAAGCATCATTTTGCATCATTTTGCATCATCGTATGGAGATTGAGGTGGCCAGAGAGACTGGAGCAAAGATTGTCCTCTCCAGTGACTGGCGCAGCTTGGCAGAGACGAATGAAGTGCTCAAACAAGTGCTCAGGGACAGACCTGAGTGGGTCGGCCGGCGCGGCTGAGGTCGACACCCAGAGGCCCGTGCCGGAGCACAGCGAGTGCTCAACTCGATGGGCCCCTTGGCACCGTGGAGAGCAATGTTGAAACAGCAAATATGGATAGGAAATCTCCGGTTTCAATTCTGGTTTCCAATGATTGGTGCTTCCTGGTGCTTTTGGCCGCAAGTTTCGACCGTGCCAAATGTGCCTGGTTTCAGGCCTTGAGTTGATCGGATGTACGCCCTGCAGGGATCCCCAAGATCAGCTTCCTGAAAGATCTGAAAGTAATTCTCTGAGTGAATCGGATCGCCAGTTCCCAGATCCGATCGTCATCGTTCCGAGGCAAAAACCCGCATTTGGCGCAGAGGCCGACTGAAATCTTGGAGTGGAAGGCAGACTTCCCGAGGAGAGCTTGAATGGGCCAGGAACTCTTTTTCTTGTCGAAAACTGAGAAACAAGTATAAAAAAACATGATAGCATACCCGAAAAAAATCTGTATACGATGGATTGCGCAGGACACCCGTGCATGGGTGAACTATGGCACATATTGGCATGTGAAAGTGAATGATCGAAACAGAAACGATTTCAGTCATGACCGATGCATTCTCCGAAGCCGCGAAAGCAGTGACCAAAGCGGCACCAGGACACGTGAAGGCGAACAGGTAGAAAACTGGGTCACTTGGGAAGCACCGAGGAACTAATGTAGCGTTCCAATGAGAGGCACCGCACGAGGACTTCTCGAAATGAATCATTTGGTTGCATCATAATTGATGATTGGTGAGGTTGCACATATTCTGATGACATCGGACTCTAGCAGATGTGTCATGTGCCCGTGAGGTTGCCATTGACGATCGCGAGTTGCTGGCTGAAAAAGACGGCTCCTCCCTGCGTGGGCACTTTGTGGGTTGGCCCAGAACATGGAAAAGGCTGAGAAACCCATATGCAAACGGAGGCTGTCGATAGAAGGTCGCTCACCTATGTTGTCCAATGTCATTTCCGGCTGGCTGAGGTACAGACTCATCCTTTGCAAGGTTTGACACCTGAGGCTGCTGACGCGCCTCGTTTCGTTTTGGCTTGCCGCACACCTCCATGGACAGCACAGAGTAGGGCAGGGGCCAATCACCGGCCGACCTGTTTCATTCATCATGTGCATACAGATATGTGGATCTGAGGCGTGCATTGCCATCCTCAAGCAGGAGCAGGAGCAGGGAAGAACAATGATAACTCAATGACAATTATCAGTTTCGAAGGTTTCCAAGTTAAGACACCCGTGCACGCCCTCACCTGTTCTCCCATTTCCCAACTCTGAGCGCTACCGACAACATCGAAGCCACCGCATCCAAGCTCTAGGACCAGGGTCCTAGCACCCTATCCTGTTCCCAGCGGTTCCGAGCTGTTCACCTTAAACTTGCTAGGAGACGATGGATCCGCCGCGCTGTCGTGCGACCGAGCGCCCACCCATCATGGTGGAGGACAGGGAAGGATGAACCTTCTCAAGATGGGCCATTTGCAGCTTTAGGAATTATTTGCGTGATTAATGCTGATTTGGGGACAGTTCGGTGCAGTTCCAACACTAAGATGATTTGGAGAGATGCATGCTCAAAGGTTTCAAATGTTTGTTTGATCTTATTTTCATTGTGAAGCATTTCATGTACATGGGTGTGTGCACATAAGCATGCATGCATGCATGCACATACTGCACATATATCTTTGCACAGAAATGTACATATACATCATGTATATTTGTGAA